TGTTCGTGTGGTGTTTGTTGTGTAGGGAAAAGAAGGTTCTTTACTTTGATTCTCTTCGTTGTGACGAAGATGCTGCCAAGTGCGTTAGGGTTTAGGGTTTAGGGTTTATTAGGGTTTATTAGGGTTTACTAGGGTATATTAGGGTTTATTAGGGTTTATTAGGGTTTATTAGGGTTTAGGGTTTAGGGTTTAGGGTTTAGGGTTTAGGGTTTAGGGTTTGTGTGCATGCAGATTCTATAAGATAATGAGGAATTATTTAGCAGCAGAACATTTAGATAAAAAGAAGAAACCCTTGCCTACTGCTGAATGGCGTGGTGTTATCCCTGTAAACCCTAAACCCTAAACCCTAATTTTTTGTATATGATGGTGTATATCTTCCTATGGATCTTTTTCTTTCGTTTTTTTTGTGTAAGGGTTTAGGGTTTACATATAAGGGTTTATTTTTTGTCCTGCTGCTGCTGCTGCTGCTGTTGCTGCTGCAGCACGGGGTGCCGCAGCAAACAAACGTAAGAGACTGCGGCCTTTATTGCTGCTGTTTTGCTGAATCCCTTGCTGATGGTCGTCTTCTTCCTTCTTCTCTTAATGAGCAAACTGTTCGTTCTCTGCGTCTACATATGGTTAGTCCTGCTGCTGCTGCTGCTGCTGCTGCTGCTGCTGCTACTGCTGCTGCTGCTGCTGCTGCTGCTGCTGCTGTTGCTGCTGTTGCTGCTGCTGCATCTCTTTTATACTTTTTTTCTTTTGTTTCTCTATAGGTGCTGCAGTTGCATAGAGGAATTGTTGATTAAGGGGGGGCCCCCTTAGCAGCAGTAGCAATGGGGGCCCCCTTTGTTCTCTCCTTATTGAGCGGGGGCCCCCCTAGCAATAATACCCGGGGGGCCCCCACTCCTATTGCCCTGTGGGCCCCCCAAGATTGGTACTCGGGGGCCCCCCATGTTTAGTACTCGGGGGGCCCCCCACCTATTATAGTGCCCTGAGGGCCCCCAGGTTTAGTACTAGGGGGGCCCCTTGGTTTATTACTCGGGGCCCCCCCCGGATTATTACTCGGGGGGCCCCCAGGTTTATTACCCTGGGGGCCCCCTTGTTAGTATAATGCAGTATGGGGGCCCCTGGGTACACTAAGGGTAACTACAGACACAATTGATTTAAATAGTAGAGGAAATAAAGCAGCAGGGCAATTGATGTTTGCTGCTGCTGCTGCTGCTGCTGCTGCTGCTCTTGCTGCTGCTGTAGTTGTTGCTGCTGCTGCGAGGAGACAAAAGAGGGTTTAGAGAGTTTGTTGCTGTCTAATTACTTCCTATTAGTTGCAGTGTATAGGCAGCTAACTGCAGCAGGAACAGAAAAAGCCCCAAAAGATGCATGCACTCATCAAGACAAAATCCCTAAAAATAAAGGTATAAAAAACAGGGGGGGCCCTTCTTCTTCTTTCCCCTTCTTTTCTTTTTCTGTATATGCACAATAAAGTATTTAATTAAGGGGCCCCTAATAGGGTACAAAATGCTTCTTACTAGCCTACAGTATCCTATAGATAGTACATATGTATTATATATTATATGTTGTATATATTATTAATGTATATAATATACAAATAATGCATAAATAATATATAATATATTATATATATATTATGTATATTAATTAAGGGTTTATTTATCTGTTGTTGCTGTTGTGTTACCTGCCTATACACCCGAAGAGTGTTTATGACGGCAAGACAAAACCCTAAACCCTCAATAAAGAACAACAGCAGCAGATTAGACAATAAATATAAATAAATATAAATATAAATAAATAAATATAAATAAAGAAGTATATATAAATAAATATAAATAAATGTTAATATTATATATACACATTGTTAAGGCAGCAGCTGCTCCTGCTGCCGCGCCGAGCACCTGGGGCCCCTGGAGGGGAGGGGGGCCCCCCAGGGGGTGTTGGGGGCCCCTCCCTTAGGGCACAGTATTTATTTGGGTATTTTAAGAGTAAATAGTATAAATTAACAAGGATATAAACCATTTTAGTACCCTTATTTACCTACTGGGGCCCCTCTTCGCCTGGGGGGGCCCCGTCAAACCCTAGGCACACCGCTGCTATAGGGAGATCGGGGGGCCCCCCCTAGCAGCAATGGGGGCCCCCAGGGTCTTTCTTGTTTACAGGGTTTTTATAAACTTGCATTAGGAGCGAGAAAGGCAAAAGAGATGCTGGGGCCCCTCCCCAGGGGCCCTAGGGGGGCCCCTAGGGAGTCTATTGCCCCCAGGGCCCCCCCCATAAGCTGCAGGGGCCAACATAGATGGGTCTTTTACCAGCAGCTGATAGGGGCCCTTCTGCTGCTGCAGCTGGGTACCACAGCAGCAATCTCTAGTTCTGTGGGGGCCCCGCTTGGGGGCCCCTCCTACTTTGCCTTTCAGACCCTTCCTTGTTCCTCTGTAGGAGGAGGGGGCCCCTGTACCTCGTCAGTTGCTGCCTCTCCCCTTCATAGTGGTCCCTTTATGGGGGCCCCCCTGTT